GTGCAAGAAATTATGACAGCAATATCTATGCTGATATATATGATGGGAGAGTTTGGAATTCATTTCCTTTCAATGGTAGTAAATTATTTAGTCTGAAAACTGTCACCTCGAATTTAGAATTATTAATAAATTTAGACTGATTCCAACCTTTTAAATATATACAACATAACTATTTATGCTTCGATATGCAATCTCCCTAGAGCTGAAAGAAATAAGTCCAAAAATATAATTTATTTGAACTTTCTCTCAGGACCTAAGGAAGTTGATAAGAATCAAATTAATTATTATCTATTATCAATAGTTGATAACCTTAAGGAATTATGGGAGAAATAGAGAATTCCCGAAACATATGAAAATAAAGATAAGCTTGATATAAAAGTTATAATAATAGTAAGTTCTTCCGATATTCTAACTACACAAAAGTTATTTGGACATAGATCTTCAGTGATGAAATGCCACAGGTGTCTGAAAAGAAGCTGATATAGTGATAGGGTTGTTAACTGAAGCATAATGTTCTGGCATCAACTCGGGTTATGTATCACTCCGTCACGAAGCGAGTTAAGATTTCTAATTTTTTGTACTAACTCAGAGCAAATTATTTATTATAACCCGAGTTACTATATAATTTTTGTTCCAGGTTGCTCCAGGTTACTCCAGGTTGCTTCGGGTTGCTCCAAGTTATTTTAGTAATTTAATTGGTTAATCAATTAATAAAATAACAATTTACATTTGCGTTTTGATTTCTTTGTTCACAAAATTTATTATGAATAAAAAACAAAAAATGAATGAAAATTTATATGAAACACTTTCAGATAGTGAGCTTGAACAATCAGATGAATTATTATTAAATATAATTAGAAAAGAAAGTTTAGTTTTTAGTCAAGAAGATAATGAAAGTTTAATTACGCTTACAATTACAACTATAGCTACTACAAGTACAAGTACAGATGTTACAAATACAATTAATACTATACGAGAAAATAAATCTAATTCATCAAATACTACATGTGAAACTTCTTGGGTTTGAGAATTTTTTTTAAAAGAATATAATGATAAACAAGAAATTATTACATATATTTGTATAATATGTAAGAATCGTTATAAACCATCTAATACTGCAGGTACACTTGCAAGACATCTAACTACAAAACACAATCATAAAATTGGAAAAGTACAAAGTACTTTAGATAAATTTGCACCTAAACCATATGCAAAATCAGAGAAACGATATCAAGAACTTACAGATACAATTGTAGATTTTATTGTTTGTTGTCAACTTCCTTTTGCTATTGTAGATAATTCATATTTTACTACAATGTTAAATGCTTTTGATGGACGTTATCAAGTACCATGTAGACAAACTATTAAATCAGAAATAATCAATAATTATAATATTATGAAAAAAAGAATTTTACAAGAACTTTCACAAACAAAAAAATTATCAATTACATGTGATATCTGGAGTTCAATTACAATGCAATCATATCTTGGTATTACAGTTCATTTTATTGATAATAATTGGAAATTACAACATTTTTTACTTGATCTTTTATATTTTCCAGGATCACATTCAGCAGTTCGAATTCAACAATTAATTTTACAAGCTTTAGATGAAGCAAAAATTACTAAAAAATTATTAGGAATTATAATGGATAATGCACAATCTATGATTGTAGCAGCTAGAGAACTTAAAGAAAAATTAGGAAATCAAGAATTTATTCATCAACGTTGTGCAGCACATATTTTAAATATTGCAGTTCAACACGGATTACAATTATCAGATCCTATTATAAAAAAAGTTAGAGATTTTATAGTAAAAATTCGACAATCAACAAGACTCAGTGATTCAGTAAGAACAATTTGTCAACTTGAAAAAGTTCCAGAATTAAAACCAGATTTAGATGTAGAAACTCGATGGAATAGTACTTATTTAATGTTAAAAAAATTTCATCGAATGAGAAATATTTTAGATATTCTTGTTATAAAAAATCGAGAATTAGGAATTTTTTATATACAGGATGATGAATGGAAAAAGATTGAAATTATAATTCAATTACTTAAACCAATATTTGTAGCAACAGAAATATTATCATCATCAACTTATCCAACAATAAGTGATGTACGATTAATTTTTATTGGTTTACTTCGACATCTAGAATTATTTATTCAAGATCAAAATAATTTAGAAGATTGTACAATGGCTAATTCAATTAGTTTTAAATTAAATGAATATTGGAATAATGTAGAAAAGTCAACAACAATTGGTACTTTATTAGATCCACGATCTAAAACAAAAACATTTCAAGATTATAATAAACGTGATGAAGCAATTTCATCATTACGAAATCTTATGCCATCATATAAAATTAATAATCAATTAGAAGATACTAGAATTAATATACAATCACAAGAAAATAAAAGATCATATTTTGAATTTCTTCTTACTGATCAAACTTCTGAAGAAAGACCTACAGATGATGAAATAACTCAATATATATCAGCACCTATTGATACTACTACTAATCCATTAGAATGGTGGCAACGTTTTGAAGGGGATTTTCCAATTCTTTCACAAATAACATTATGTTATTTAAGTATTCAAGGTTCTAGTGTACCTTCAGAACAAGTATTTTCTATAGCATCAAATATAATTACCAAGATTCGATGTAATTTGAAACCAGAAACTGCACACGCGGTTATGTGTTTAAAATGTTGGATTCAACAAGTAAGAGATAAAAAGGAATGTGATAAGTTTGAAGATTCATTTTTTTTGAAATGTTAATAATTAATATTATAGTTTATTTTTTTTTCTTATTAAAATATCTATCTTAATATCTAATCTAATAAGTAAGATCTTTTTTGATCTTTTTTATCAAAACGGTTGTACATAAATCTATATTTAATAATAGATTTATGTGATCAAATTTATAATAATAATAAATAGATCTACGCGATCAAATCTATAATAATAAATAGTTATTATTGTTTATTTTTTCGAATAATCATTTACGCGAAGTGTTTACAATTATTTACGTGATGAAAAACTATATAAAGACCCATTTTTCGCAGGGGTGGTGGTCAGGTGGTGGTCGGGGGAAGGGCGGTATTTTTAAGTTTTTTTTTTGAAAGTTGAATTCAAATAAATTTTTATTTCTATTAAAACTTTTATAATTTTTATTTAATTTTAATTTTTAAACATTTAATAAAAAGGAAATTAAATTTGGAACCAATATATACAATTATATTTGAGATTATTATGCAAGTTTTAGAATTATTTCAATTTAAAAATCGGTATAATTTTTTTCACTTTTTTTTAAATAATGATTTTTTGTTGTAATTATGCTATAATGGAATTATATACAAAGTCGTCGATCGTTGCTACATATAAAACTTTTTATTTTAATAAGTAAATATCAAAAACGTTACTAAGTAACCTCAAAGATGAGAATGAATTATATATCATATTTCAAGAACAGATCTATATCATCAAAATTGAACGAATAATTGTCGTTTTAAGATTTTTTCATCCGTTCGAAATTTAATCGTCAATTATTCTCTCAATTTTGATGATATAAATCTATCCTTTAAATATAATACGCAATTCATTTTTGTCTTTAATATTATTTAGTACCGTTTTTAACGTTTACTTATTAAAATAAAAAGTTTTATATGTAGCAACGATCGATAATTATTTCTGATCAGTTTTACTAATTATAATTATTACTTCATGGAGTAACCCGGAGCAACCCGGAGCAACCCGCGGAGCAACCCGCGGAGTACCAGTGATACATTTAACCTGGGTTGAGTTGGGTTGACCATTGCTCCGCTATAATATGAACCCAACCCAATCCATTATGTTCTATTAATAATCCTACATATCGGGCTCTGATTTTTTGACATTTTTTTAAAATATATCATATACTTATCGGACATCCGATTTTATTTATTTTTTATCGGGCACATATCTTCAATATATTGGTATAGTATATTGGGTATATATCAGTCACTGTATATTCCTCAATATCGGGAGCTTTTTTCTTACTATCGGATACCTATCGGTGACTTTTATTTATATATTTTTATTTTCTTATTACCAATAATCACATTTTTGTTTATTATTATAAAATATAAAGGAAATATATTATTTATTAATAAAAAATATAAAATGAAAAACGTTATACATATTATATATTGTTAATTATACTATTTATACTATATAAAATGTTTTTAATGTTCACGTTTAAATCTATCAATTATTTTTTTTATTTTTTTTAGATTTTTTATTTTTTCTTTCTTTTTCTTTTCTTCTTCCTTTTCTTTTTCTTTTTCTACTACTAGTTTCTACTTCATTATCATCATTATTATCATCATCATTATCACTGTCATTATCGTCATTATTATTGTTATCATCATCTTGATCTGAGGTATCGGGATTATAAATTGGGATGGTTTTCTTATCCCACTTTATTATTTTCAATACTTCTTTATTTAGAGTCCAAATAGGCGCACCTTTTGAAACTTTTGTTTCATTTTTGCTCAGCATATATTGTGGAGATCTAATTCAAAGCTTGGAATTTTTTGACGGCTTACACAAAAGATCAATCGTTAGATCGATTCTTTTGTACAATAGCTTCTTTAACTATAAAATATTATTTAATATATATATCATCTATTAATATTATGCCCAATAGGTATAAAAATATACTATAATTATTGATCTTATCAAATCGGATCTCCACCATTTGTCCTTAATATAAATAGAAATTGTAGGTGTTCAGATACTTCTGCTTCTACTTGCTGTAGTAGCAGCTGTGGTGCTACTTCTACTTGCTGTAGTACTACTTCTACTTCTAATATTACTACTACTGTTATCATTATCATCATCATTATTATTGTTATTATAATCGTTATTATTATTATCATTATTATTATCATCATCATCATTGTTATTACGATTATTATTATTATTATTATCATCATCATTATTATTATGATTATCATCATCATTGTTATCATCATAATCATTATTATGATTGTCATTATCGTAATTATTATTACGATCATTATCAACATCTATGATATCTTGTTTTATAAATTTAATAAATTAATTTTTTAATTATAAACAAAGTATAATAAATATAATTTGTAAATATAGTACCTTCATATTCATATTCGTCATCTGTCATCTCCCACTCTTCCAAGTGGTAACCGCTATTACCTAATATTTTTAATATATCCTTTTTAAGATACATATTTAATTTTTCGTTACCTCCTTTTAATAGGTATACTGCTGCTTTCTTCCTCCTCTCCTTCTTCTATTTAAAATAAATTATATCAATAATATGTCTGATAACTGTATTATTACATTTATTATAAAAAAAATCTTACCTTTGCCATTTCAGTATTCTTCTTCATTCTTCTTTTATTTATTTTTTCATTTCCAGTTATTTTCACCCTCTATTGCCAGTGCATCGTACAATGCCGCATATAGAGCATTTTTTTAATCTCATAATCAGATATAGTATACTTACTATTTAATATTTTACTTAATTTGGGCAAGAGTTTTTTGATTAAATAATCATATTCTTCCCATTTACATTCTGGTTTAAACGGATATTTATTTTGATATCTAGATTTATATAGTAAAAATAATTCTTTCTATAATTATACAAATTGATATTAGTTATTTTATCCAATATATGTATAATATAAATATTTGGTATACGATATATGTATAATATAAAAAATCAAAAAAAAAATAAATAAATTTACTCTAATTCTCTTTTTAGATTCAGAATTCAGA